TGAATAACAGTTGATCAGTAGAATCATTAACACGTGAATAACAGTTGATCAGTAGAATCATGAACACATGAATAACAGTTGATCAGTAGAATCATGAACACATGAATAACAGTTGATCAGTAGAATCATGAACACATGAATAACAGTTGATTAGTAGAATCATGAACACATGAATAACAGTTGATCAGTAGAATCATGAACACATGAATAACAGTTGATCAGTTGAATTATTCACACATGAATAACAGTTGATCAGTAGAATTATTCACACTTGAATAGCAGTTGATCAGTAGAATCATTAACACTTGAATAGCAGTTGATCAGTAGAATTATTCACACTTGAATAACAGTTGATTAGTAGAATCATGAACACTTGAATAACAGTTGATCAGTAGAATTATTCACACTTGAATAACAGTTGATCAGTAGAATCATTAACACATGAATAACAGTTGATCAGTAGAATCATTAACACATGAATAACAGTTGATCAGTAGAATTATTCACACTTGAATAACAGTTGATTAGTAGAATCATGAACACTTGAATAGCAGTTGATCAGTAGAATCATTAACACATGAACAACAGTTGATCAGTAGAATTATTTACATGTGAATAACAGTTGATCAGTAGAATTATTCACACTTGAAGAAGAGCTGGTCAGTTGATTCTCACTTAGGAAGGACTGGTCAGAAGAACTGTTTACACTGATTTAGAATAAAGCTGATTAGTATGATGATGTACATTGAATTGGAGGAGAGCTGATTAGTATGATGATGTACAACCATTCAATTTAAATATTTCACTGACTTGAAAAGGATGTGATGGAAAAATGATGTAACTGACTTGAAAAATAACTTTTATCCGTCACCAAATTGATATTACAGTTTTTGTATTGGTATTTTTAGTTACAGAAGGAACCTACCTTTTGTACATACGGATATATAGTTTTAGATTCAGTGATTGAGTATGGAGTTTAAAACTTATCTGACGTTTTTAAACCTTTTTTTGTCCAGTAGTTGATGGTTTAGTACCTTACATCTGGGGTAAAAGTCTCTAGATTTAAATAATTTTAGTTTTGTTTTTTAATGACCATTTCCCTGTCATATTTAGGGGAGCTCTGCATGCAGTGTTTTTTTATTACTTGCTAAACTCCATGTTTATTGAAACAGAACGTGATAATTTGCTTGGGAAGATACTTCATTGTAATGTAATTACTTTGTATCAAAGGTAATCATAAAATAGTTTTTGTGTTAGAATTTTATTATTTTTTGTAGTGTAGTTGTGTTGCAGTGTTTGTCAAAATTTAAAATTTTTGTCTAATGTTTTATGTTTAAAATCGTATTGCACTGATGTTGTCATACTGTTAGAAGAAAGCACTTTTTTTTTTAGCTCAGTGATATGCCTTCTGTTTGCTTAGTTGTGAGGTCATGGAATTTTTAGGTTTTTTTTCTTTCATAATAAGTACTTTGTTGTTAAATGTTCTTTCTGTCCATGCCGAATGTGTTACACTAGGGTAAGAACAAAAACAATTTTTTGGAATGGACTGAAGCCTAACGAAATTATTTTAATTCTAAACTTGACTTCTGATACTAACTAATAGAAACAAGAAAAAGATTTTCGAGCTATAAGAGGTGGTCAGAGGTTTAGCATCATGCTAGATATTTTAAACAGAAGATGCACACCAACCATTCAGTGAGAACAGTAGCCTTCTAATAACACTGAAGTTAAATTCCGTCAGTCCGTTAAATAAAATTATTGCATCTATCTAAATAATGTTAGAGTATTTTATACAATTTTATGTGAAAACCTGCATATAATTTTAACAAGATTCTCTCACTATGTATGTATGTATGTAAAGTTTTCTTGTTGTTGTGATGTTTTAAAAAAATAACAAGTATATTTTTCTGTTAGGAAATGAACAGAAGAGAGTTTAGAGTAATAATTTTGGATATTGGTGGTTAAAATAGTTTTTCTGTTATGACATGGATATATATGTTAATCAGAGGTTAAAAAATATCATCGAGCTTTCATTGTTACGACGAAAATGTGCTTAAATTGCAACTCAAAAACAGTTGGACTTGTACAGAAAGATTTATCTCTGAGAATGTTAAGAGCTGTTTTAACTTGACTTTAACTACCAGGTTTGTTATTAAAAAATTGATTCATTACAAGTTTGAAACTCGTAAAAAGGAGCAGGATCATCAACTGACTTTTAGGGTGCTTTCTTTAGATTAACGATTATCTTAAATTTGTTTGAGTCACTTTCAAAAGCTAGAGGTAAGTACTGTCTCTAGGCATGGTTGATTAGGCTAGGTTAAGCCATGTTGCAGGTTTCTGTTTCTAACTCTTGTTATGATAATTGTTAAATTTTACTGTCAGAAGGGTTTAGTCGTTAACATCAATGTTATTTCTGCAGTTAGTATTTGGTTTCTTGTCGTAATGTACTACTCGATAATTTGAAATTTACTACAACTAATCTTCAGTTGTTATAGATGTATATCACTGTGGTTTAAAAGAATTGGATATTCTCCTTAGTTGTTTAAAGTGAATCACGTCTATTGTTGTGGTAACGGAGCAGTACGTCATACGCGTAAAAGACGTCATACCCACACGAGAGTTACCCAGTTAACCGTTTCAAAAAATATCACTGTTTGATAATGTAATTTCTTTAATAACTGAATCGGATCATTGAAAATGAATGTTAATTATTAAATAGAATCACCTACCTCATGAATGATATCAATATTCAGGATGTATATTAAAAGGACCTGGATATACATTGGAATTACTGAAAAAATACCTTGAGCATGTTTGAGTAATTTGATTTTTGTTTTAATTCCAAAGAAAAGGAATTACTATTTGTATCTTTTGTAATAAGCCAGGCCTAAAATTTTAATTATATTTGTTGATCGATTACTGACATTGTGACCAGAAGAACTTCTTTCTCATAGATAGATTGTTTAGGCAGAGTATTCTTGATGAATTTACTGGAATAAATGGCAACTGCCTCGTGTAAAAAAAACACGAGTGTAGAGAACAACATTTCAAAAGTCTTTCGTCTTCAGGTTCAGGAACCTGAAGACTTCCAAAACACCGTGTCCTCTATACTCGTGTTTTTTTTTTTTACAATGGGCAGTTGATGTCCATTCCAGTAAACTACTTTCATCAAACAGACATTATTCTCTAAAGTACTTTTTTTCAGAATTATCATTGTCTTCATTTTTTCAAATGACTGTTAGACTTATAGTTTTCAAACGTAGCACCTAGATGCCGTTTTAAGATTTGAGGCATATATTATTAAGACACCCCACCACAGGATGTTAATATAGTGATTTTCCAGGTGAATGTACTCCCTGTTTAATCAAATCTGTGGATGATCAGAAACCAGAATAGGGGATAAAGTTGTCCTAATCGATCTAGAACATTTTAACTTTTGGAATCAGGCCTTTAGAAGAAGCTTTGATCACACGATGTCCCTTAGAAAGTAAATCTTCAGCTAAAGGCCTGCAACATGACAGTGAAGAGTTGTCTTAATGGTTATAAATATTATCACAAGATGTCTCTTAGAAAGTAAATCTTCAGTTAAAGGCCTGCAACATGACAGTGAAGAGTTGTCTTA